TTTCAGCTAATTTCAGCTATTTTGTGATCCTTTTAGATTTTTTTGGCTAGCATTTTTGTGGTTCTTTCTACTAATTTCAGCTTATTTCTGCCAGTCTCAGCTTTTTTTGCTATTTCAGCTACTATTTAGCTGTTTTATGCTGATTTAAGCTTTTTTGGCTAATTCCACATTTTTTGCACTCAGTTCAATTTTTTTCAGCCTAATTCAGCAAAAACGTGCCCTCACCACTTCCTTTTGGTAGTTTATGCTTATTTTTGCTTTTTTTTTTTTTTAGGTACTGTTCAGCTGGGGTTTTTTTTTTTTTTTTTTTTTTTTGCATATTTCAACTTTTTTCAGATAATATCCACTTTTTTGTGCTCATTTCTGCTTCTTTCAGCCTAAATGGGCAAAATTGTTCTTTCTCTACTTCCTTCTGGTAATCCAAGCTTCTTTCTACCTTTTCAGCTATTTTTTTTCTTATAATTTTAGCTTTTAGAGCTTATTTACTATGTTTGTGCTGATTTATGCTTATTTAAACCAGATTCAGCAAATATGTGTTCTTTCTGCTTTCTTCTGCTCACGCTTATTCTTCCTTTTTAGCTGCATTTCAGGATGTTTTTAGCCAATTTCAGCTGTTTTTCTGCAAGTTCTTCATCAAGAAGCATTCACACTGCATTTTCGCCGAAATCCAATTGCTCTAAATTATATTTGGCAGGTTATCTCTTTGTCAAAATGGATGGGTATCCTACTTTTATGAAAACACATGCATTCTCACAGTACGGTTACATTTGTTTTAAAGCGAAAAGGGCATGACTTTTCAGAACCGACCTTGATTGATGATGAGACAGTGCTCAGCCTCGATGCCAGGCCCCTGGATCGTGATATCCTGGAGAATCGGAGCATCTTCTCTGCCTATTCGAGTCACCCCTGGAACACGGTGAAATAAGCCGTAAAATACATAGTCATTAAATATTAAATGAAACAAAAGGTGCGGACAACATGTGAAGAAGACGTTGCAATTTATAGCTATTAACTTCATATCAAGCAGTCTGAATTAGTGTTCCTTGTTCTGTCTGGAGGCTACTAATAAAAATGAGCTGAACAAGCGTCTCAGTGTCTTGTTGCAACTTTTTACTTCTGATTGCACGATTAAGTTTTTGGCAGCTAAGTCGAATATTAATGAAGCATCGATGGTTTACCTTAAAAAGGAACTTTACATTTCTGTGTAAAACTTGTCATACATCAAATCTCCATCTTGGTTTTTAACTAACACAAAGGATCACTTTCTTTCCTCCCATGCAGCTCTAACTGTAGCTTTGTTGTAACTATAGAAATAAAGTGTAAGAGTGCAGAGTATAGACAATATAAATAAATAAATTTAAAAAAAAACTGCCGTGTGGGAGTTGCTCAGATAAAAGAGAAGAAGGGGGAGAGATCAGGAGAACATTTGGTTTCACTCCAGACTCCACGTCAAGGCTGTGCATGACTGCTGAGTATTTACATGGGAAGATTTAATGGTTTGCAAACTGTACAGCAGGAATGAAAGTGGAGATAGGTGAGCTGGACTCCCACCGTCTGGACTGTGCACTGTGAAAAAGTCTTAAGTCATACCCCAATACCTTCTCTTTTCCTTCCAATGAGACGAGGATTTCTTTTAATCCCTTAAAGTGGTATTGAGTGATGCTTTTGCAGGAACAAAAATACTATTTCTCCTTGGAAACAGAGTAAATACATGAGTGTGTCTGCATTTCTTTCTGTTTGTTACCTTCTTTGAGTGGGAGCACAGTAATTGCCACACTCAGCCTCCCACTGCCCAGGCTGACTAGATGAGGGGCAGCTGTCTGGACCTTCAAGCCTTTGCTCGTGTCAATAAGGTCCAAGGGTGAAGACTATAACCAAACATATATAAAGTATTAGTTTTACGCACATTTCTTAAATGCATTCTGCATATTACTGAACGATTCTTTGAAGAAAAAAAAAGCATAAAAATTAAAAATGTGTTTGTGAGAGGGTATTTTTTTTCACCTTATGTGGAGCTGGATACATCTGATCTGACTCAGGCTTATACATCATCTCAGACTCCTGCGAAAACACACAAAATTCAAAAACATTAAGTACAGTCAGAAGCATCCTGACATAATAAATCACTATTCCACAAGGCTGCAAACACGCACAAACAAACTGCTTTTGGCTCGTTTAGCTGCCACATGAAAGAAAGCCTCGCTCTGAAAGTGATCCAAGAAGAAATCCCTGCTTGAGAGGAAACATCACACACGAGCTTTAATTTAGTGGAAGAACCATTAAAATGCTGCATGAAAACAGTCTTTCCACCATTTGTTGGTTTCCATCACGTTCACTTCATTAAATGTATGTCGCTCCACAAGTCAAACATCAAAGTAAGTCCTAATCACGGCTTTTTCCTTATCAGATCTCAAAGTTCATTTGAAGCAAGTTCACGCAAGCGCTGCGCAACTTTTAACGTCCCCGTCTCACTTTTAATTAAAGGGGCTCATTGTACTGCCATGATGGTCGATCAAAAACAAAATTCATGAAGTAGGAAGCAAAAACCTCACATTTACCCCCCTTTACTAACCTTTAATTTGTCTTTAAATTAAACATTTGTAAGCAAAGTTTCCAATGAGCTGCCTTCTCCCCTGCACATTTGTTTACTTGTGTAAAAGAACGTCCAACATGACTAAAAATAGGTAAACTACATATTTATGCTCAGATCCATTGAGTAAGGTATGCAGACAATAGGGCTTTGTTTACACTGAGTGCATTCATAATTCAGTTCAGTTTATTTATATCACAACAGAAATTATCTCAGGGCACGGATGAACAGAAACATTCATGTAGAATATAATAATTTAACACTATTTATCGGAGCAGACTGCTTTGAGTTCGCAAAACTCTCATCTTGAGCGAGCACGAAGGCGACAGTGGGAAGGAAAAACTCTTCACGAGGAACAAACCTTTAACAGAACCAGGCTCAGGACAAGCGTCCATCTGCTTTGACAGGCTGGGTTTGGTAGGAATAGATACACAATGGCAGGTCAAGAATCACATAAGATAGAAATAGTATCAAATGAAAAATATTCAATTATAGCAATTCATTTCAGGACATGAGGTAAACTTCCTATAGCAGCTTAAGCCAACTCTAACTATAGGATTTATCAAAAAGGAAAGTCTTAAAACTGAACAGTGTGTCAGCCTCACAGACAGAAACTGGAAGTTGGTTCCACAAGAGAGGAGCCTGAGAACTGAAAGATCTGCCTCCCATTCTGCTTTTGGAAACTCTAGGAACGCGAGTAAGCCTGCAATCTGAGAGTGAAGTGCTCTGTTAGGAAAATATGGAACAATGAGATCTCAAATATAAGATGGAGCTAGGTTGTTGAGAGCTTTGTAGGTTAGAAGTAAGATTTTGAATTCAAGTCTGGATTTGACAGGGAGCCACTGGAGAGAAGCTAAAACTGGAGACGTGATCTCTCCCACTAACTCCAGTTATGACTCTGGCAGCAGCATTTTGAATTAACTGAAGTCTTTTTAAAGAAGTATTTATAAAAACTACTAGTCATAATTTTATTCATGAATCTACTTGAGTAAACGATTTCAAATTGCACCATGTGATACAGTTAATGACATTTTTCATGTTTGAGTTCATACTTTGCAATAAGCATTTTAAGTTTGTCCTAGAAAAAAAAAAAAGCAAAATATGTTTTATTATAGGAAGTAGACTGTAAGAATAAAAGGGAAAACTATAGTTTATCATAAATTAGCGATAAAAATAATAAAGAGCAGATGAAGACTGCGATCAAAGAAGCTTTGAGTAAATTTCTTGAGTCAAGGACAATTCTTCAGTAACCTACAATTGGATAGGAAATAAAAAAAAGCTTGCTACTATTTTAGTGCCCACATGCATGGACACAAACACAGTGTGCTCTCAGTCTTGGACGGGTGAGTTAAAAATGCTTCTCACCAAAGCAGAGATGATTACAGCGTATGAAAGTACCACAAACACACTGATTTACACCTCGAGCAGTTTCCTTCCTCTGCTTGCTTTTCTTTAAACCTGTAAAAAAAACCTTCTAATGATCTAAATGAGTCATTATAAACAGCTGTTACAGTCACTGAAACTGCATTGTTTTCAGGGTTTTATTTCCTGTTATATAGTTTCCTGCAGCCATCTTTCCTGTAACCCCTTTTTTTTTCCGTTTTCTCTTTTGCACTTCTCCCATTTCATCCTCTCCTCTTGCCTTTTTTTTTAAATCTCACTTCCTTTCTTTTCCTTTCTGTCCTCCAATCTGGGGAAAGCGAATCAAACACAGCCTGCACAGTTTCCTCTCATTCAACAGCAGCTTCCTTTCTGACGACGCTTCCGTTGCTGCTTTGACACCCTCATCGCCTCTGACACAAAAAACCCACAGACACAGATATGGACCCTTCTAACCCCTATCCAAACAAAACACCCACAAATAAAGTCATGCTTCAACTCTTTATCTTCTTTTAAGACGATACCGGCTCCACGGTTATTTTCTTTATTTATTTTTGTCAGGTTTTTTTCCATCTCTGGTGTAGACAAAGCAAACACAGTGGGTATTATGGCAACATCATGTGAACAAATGTTACAGAGTCCTGCTAAAGAAGAGGGTCAATCAAATGTCAAAGTTTAAAAGGATATTCTGGTCATTTTTTTTTAAGTTTGCTCTTTGGCTAGTTTAACGGTTAGCCAAAGAAGTGACAGTTTTTCAGGCTTTTATAACAAATCATTGTCAAAAATAACATTATCAACTTTACATCAGTGAATATTAAATTGCTACGACATTACTTGTTTAGTTTGTTGACGTTTTCTCAACAGGGGTACATCAGAATCATTATAAAAGTATATTTCTGCTGAGCACAGACTGTGTGGGGCAGTGATTTTCAACTGGCGGCCCATGGGTGAGCTCAGTTCGGCCTACCAATGGGTTCATTTTTAAATAAAACTAGATTTTAAACCGTAAAACAAACTTACTTAATGACAGTAACTAATGGATATCCTGTCCGCTGACCCTATCCGGACTTGGCTTTCTGTAACTGTGGCCACCTGATAAATTTAGTTGGATAGCTCTGGTGTAGTTCCCAACCCTGGTCCTCGAGGAACACTATCCTGAATGTTTTAGTTGTTTAACTGCTCCAACACACCTGATTCAGTCATTTTATTACTTCTTCTAATTTGCAAAAGCCTGTTAATAACCCATTTATTCAAATCAGGTGTGTCAAAGGAGGGAAACAAGTAAAACATGCAGGATGGTGTTCCCCAAGGATCCGTGTTGGGAACCAGACAAGTGTCAATGAAAGGCTCGCAGGCCCAGTCCTTAATCTTAATTTATCTGGCTGCAACGATAATATTTTCAATCATACCAATCAGTAGCATGCAAATGTGTAGTGGTTTAATATTAGTTCTTTCACACCGGTCGTTTTTAAAGAAAAGTTGTTTAATAAGCCTGAATTTTTTTATTTTTAAGTGGAGTCCTGTTTGTTAATTGGTCCAGCCTGGAAGAAACATTTGCTCTTTTCTTCATACTTTGCACGACTGATGTCGGATGTCACGGCTAATGAGAACTTCACTTAAAAAATCCCCAAGTTATCTCTTTGAATAATAATCTGAATGTCTGTATTTCACCTCTCTGCCTGCCTCTCGTTTCTCATTTTCTGTTTCCCGCCTTTTTCTAACCTTTATTCTATTGTTCCTCATCGTTGATGCTGTAATTTGTTCCTTTGTACTCGCTCACCTTGTTTTTTCCAGGTGTTAAGGCAGGTCCCAACGAGTCTGCGGCTTTGTTTGTTATGATTAAAGCAGAGCAGTGAGGTGTGTCCCCCCCTTCCAGATTTACAGATATACCCTTTATTATTGTCTGTTTTTTAACTCATCGTATTAAAACACTTGGCCTGACCTGAAGATGAAAGCTAAATTTTACCATCAGATTGTCCTGGAATTTATTCTACTGAGGCAAAAACTTCATGTGGTGAACTTCATGCCTTTTTTTTTTTAGGGTAAACTTAAATGTGTTCACTCAGTTTCACCTTTAACATTAACCTGACAGCAGACATCAAAGACTCCATCAACAATAAAGTGATAGTACAGATCTTTTTGAGTGTGGTTTTGTGGATAGACTACAAACAAGCAATATCTTACCTGTTGTGCATGTATAGCTCTTTGAACGAGCTTAGAACAGACTGACAAACTAACGGCTTTCTTCTGTACACTCGCTTTTGTGCAAGATGGACACCTTTCTACCCTCTCCCGTCCACCTCCTGCTTTTTTGTTCTCTGTCTTGTGTATCGGAGCTCCTATTTACACATCTCCCGAAACGTAAACTACTGTCATGGATCTGGTCAGCTGGACTTTCAACGCAATCGATAAATTTTTTTCAACAAGGCGACAGGATCCTGGAGAATCCTCATGCTCGGCATGATACATCATGGATCTGATGTGTCTTTCCGTATTGTCTCAGGAGGATGCCGAAGATATTGGAATCAAGATAGTAGAGTTTCTGCTTTTTGGCACTGGTGGATACCTATGTTATCGGCTATTAAAGAATATGGTGGCAGCAGTTTCGGCCATGGCAAAGCTGCCGACCCTGTGTGAAGGTTTGGTTCGTGCTTCGAGCACTCAAAATCAGCTGATTTACAAGCTAAACCATAAGCTGGAAGCGATTTGAGAGAATCGCAGGCCACTTGCAGCTTCTGGGACTCGCCAGCATGTTGGGGACGACCTTAGACAGAGGCTAATATGCAGAGACCAGTGGAATGCCCACAAATCTGGCTATTTTGGATTAAAAGTACAGTCAGAACTCAAGGCTGATGAGAAAAAACAGACTGCTTGAAAAAAAATCAAGAACTGTGGCTTATCTGAATCTGACTCCCCCGTTTGGCCTAGAAACAGGACTTATCAAATTTCTCCTGGGATATGTGTAAACTGAGAAAGCTGTCTATCGCAATCCCCCACCCCCACCCTGAGAACTTCTGTGAACGCTTATCAGAGCTGTACCGGCTGACACCAACATCTTAGCTGGACTATGCGCTATC